TGACTGAATGTGACTAAAAAATTATTAATAGTCTATGAATTATGAAATTAGCTGTAAAAATTATAATGAATTTATTATCTTTAACAATAAATAGTAGTAGCAATCAAGAATATTTCATCATTATTCTAAAACTTATAATATAATGAATTCAACCTCTTACTTGAAAATGAATATCTCATTTTTTAGATAATAATATATTTTATCATATGAAAGGTTGCTAGAAAAATAGGATTCTAAGTATTTTTTTATTAAAATTTTAATTTTTATTGCATTTTAATTTAACTTTATCAAAAATTAAAATTAAAATTTTAATAAAAAATGCTTAAAATTATATTTTTTTAGCAATAAAAAAAAAGAAAACTACTAAAAAAAATAAAAAAATGAGTTAATATTAAATTTAAACATATTTATGCTTAAAAATCATTTTTAACATATAAAAGTAAAATTAAATTTATAGTAGTTTTTTACTTTTCTATTATAAAGGTCTTATATATAAAATATTGCTAAACATTGATTTTGATAAATTACTATAATTAGATAAAGTATTTAAAGGTTAATTTTTTTTATAAAAAGTTTATTAAATTTATTAAAATAATTATAATAATAAATATATTTTAAATAAAGAATATTTTATTATAGCTAATTTTATATTTGCAATTTATTAATGGTTCATAAATTATAAAATTAGCTGTAAGATAGAAATATTTATTAAAAATAAAAATAAAAGAAAATGAAAAGTATGATAAAAATATTTATTAAAAATTAAAATAAAAGAAAATGAAAAGTATGATAAAAATATTAGCATTGAGTTAGAGAAAATCTAATTTCTTATTATTCTAACATTAACAAAGTATACTATTTATATATTTTTAATTTATTAACTATATTAATTATGTTAAATAAATCAAATATGATAACTATATTAAATATATCAATATGTTAATTATATTTAATAATTTCAATATTATATATATAAATATTTTGTAAATCATTTAATAAATCAAATTTGTAGATTAATTTTATAGATTCTCTAATAGATTATTATTGTGAAACATATTGATGTGTCATATTTTCTTAACTTAACTTATAATATTAATTAATAAATAATAAATAATTTTTATTATTTTAACCTTTATAATAAAAAATGAAAAATTACTAAGAAAAATAAAAAATGAGTTAATATTAAATTTGAATATATTTAACCTAAAAATCAATTTTAGTATATAAAAATAAAATTATTTTTTTTGACAAATTTTCTCATATCTATTATAAAAGTCCTACATAATCATTTATTATATATATTTAATTTTTATTAGATCTTTTTCTTTTAATTTTTAAAGATTACTTTGTTTATTTTTTTTCAATTTTAAAATATTATTAAATATAATTACCTTGTTTTTACTTTAATGTTCACATTAATCACTAATATTATTATTTTTATAATTAATATTAAAATTAACATTGCTAATTTTTACTTCTTCATAAAGTTATATTATGAAACTATTAATAAATAATGTTTTAAAATTAGAAATTATAATTAAAGTATAAATTTAATTTTATAATAAATAAACATAATTGATTTTGAAAGAATTACTTGAATTTAATAAAAATTTACATAAAAAAAATTTTGGACTTTTTAATTATCACTTTTACTGGATTTTTCACTATAGTCTGAACTTATCAGTATATACTAAGTCAACTTTTTTTGTATTATTTTACCTAAACAGTATATTTAAGATTTTATTTTTATAGAAATACCTAGTAAAAGTAGTAATATAAATGTGTTAGTTTTTAGTAAATATAATTACTTTTGAGATTTATACAAAAAAAAAATGATGAATATAAAAATAATAAAAAAATTATTTAAGTATTATTTAAATAATTATAAAGAGTAAAATTTAAGTAAAAAAATCAAAAATGATTTAACTTATTATAATTAAGTTAATTAAAAATATATATATATATAATTAAACAATTATTAATTAAAAAAAAAATTGTAAATTATAACAGATATATAACTGGTTTTTTCATTTTATATAAGATGTAAATATATGATTAAATAAGAAATTCTCTTATTGTAAAGAACAGGTGATATAAACTCAACATGTAAACCTCTTTTTTTTTAAAAAAAAATTAATTGGTAACCTTCACATGATATTTATCACTGGTGTTTTTATATTTATTAGAAATTTGGAACGAGTGAAAATCCTATATGTCACTTATTATTCGTCATAAGATATCACCGTTCTCTTTAACATCATTTTTCGTTTTACATAATAATAATGTAATCATCGAAAAATTTTGCCGATCAAATGATAGACATCTCCCAAATTTTGCTGACGTATTTTGATATGCGTATGTCAATGATCCCATCCAATCGGAAAATTTAGATGATATTTATATTATTTATTCCTTTATATATCCTAACGAAATTAGTTTACAAATTAATTAAATGAATTCATTGATTGAAAAACAAAAAAAAAAATTTGTACGTGTTTATTCTTTTTTGCAAAATATTTCGAAAAGAAGAATGTGAACAAAATAATCTTCTGCGAAAGATTAGTCTGAAAAGAGTTAGACCAAAGATCTAATCAAACGACGTAAAACAATGGATATAACAATTTAAGTGTACCTTATTATTAATAATAATCTAATTATCGTTCGTTTCATTATGATCGATCGTATCAATCGCACATTATCTGATATTACGAGCAGCTGCGGCGGACCTTGATCACATGCTGCGCAGTTATATTCCATCTGCGCCGCATCGGTTTTTACCAAGAACCTCGTTTGGTTTCAATTTATTGGACCGACTGTCCAATTCTAATAAATCAAACGGTGGGGTTTTTTTTCGTAATCTTAAACCCAAAATAGAAAATTAAAGTTAATAGGGTTCATGATGACTGATAATGTACAATGAACCTACAAAAAAGGAAAGGAATGAAAGGATTATGCAATAAGGCAAAATGGCTTTTTAATCTTTCTTTTTTTAAACGATAAAAGGAAATATTCAAAGATAAGAGCTTACAAAGAAAATATGCATCTTCTAGATTAATAATAATAAAAATTCCCACAATATGAATAGAAATATAATCTTTATGGAATCCGATAAACCATTTTTTTATTAAAAAAAAAAAATTCAATAATATTAAGAGTGAGATAACAAAGGATATATATGTCAAAAAATGTTTTATCGATCAACGGATTGAACTTGAACTTGATTTTTTGGGGGGGGGGGGGGTAAGACAAATACTAAGTAATTGAATAAGAAGAAGATAACACAAATTCTATGGTTCTTTTTTTTAAAGACGGTTTTAAAAAATGAATAAAAATGATTTGCACAATAAACCTAAAAAAGGAATTTACCTAACCCGATATAAATGGGCGCGCATACTGTATCTTTTAAAAATTATGATGGAACTTTCAAAATATGATGTCGTATATATTTCCAATCAGAAACAAAATTTTCCGACCAACGAAAATATCAATGATCGTGTGAAGCACAACTCACAATAATACCAAAATCGGTTGAACTTGTAAAAAAAGATGCTGTGATTCTTTTTTAACGAATACAAAGGGATAGATAGCTTTTTTTTTTTAGTAACATCAATAAAAACCTGGATTTATCTTGCCATCATTCCGTAATTCTAGAATTAAATATAAAAAGGGGGGAAAGAGCAAAGTAAATTAATCAGTATAGATTAACCAAAAGAGGAAGCTTATACAATGAAGGTTAATATCGGTCAGGGTCACCCAATAAAGTCAGATTAATTGACCACATTTTCTTTATATAAATGGTCGATGGACGACTTGAAATAAATTCATAATCCATTAAAAACTTAAATTAAAATAAAAATAAAAAAAATAAAAAAATGTCATTCTATCAAAATTCCACAATCCTATCTCTCAAACTTGACATAAAAATAAAAATTTTCAAACTCGTCGATTCACCATTAAATTTGATGTTATGTTGTAAAGAATGGTCGAAGGTCGCAAAAGATCCGCACGCAAAAATCGAATGGTTAATAAATAAATTCGGGAAGATCTATTCATTATTCCATGCCATAAGATTAGGACCCACTTTTATCAATCAAACCATATGTAAATGTCTAATTAGTGAGAGTAATATTGTTTTATCAAGTTATTTGATGCAAAATATATTAATTTATTATGGAAAAGATGATGTTAAATTAAATGAATTTAAGAACCAATTAAAGGAAGGAAATGCGAGATTTACAACGGAAGATTATCTTATGAATTTATTTAATTCACTTATAGCTCCTGAAGATTTAAATAATAATTTAAAACAAATTGTGGATTTGATTTTAAAGTTCAAGTTCATACCATTTTCGCATAAATTCAAATCACAAGAAAGTTTTAACATTGACCATCAAGATGATAACGATGACTACGAAAATGAAATTCAAATCAAAAAGATTGTGAAGGCAATTATAAATCAACCAATTCTCGTTAAATTATGGGAAAAAATAGGATATGAAGAGATTTGTAGTGATTATAATGAATTCGTCTTTCATGAGGGATTTTACTTAATTTTTCCGCGACACATTCCAGAAAATTGGATTTCTCCCACTTCCGAACAAATACAATTACAACTCATGAGACTTATAGATGCAGGATTTGAATTAAATAAATGTATTATGATAAATCTTTTTCAAAGATTTGAACATAGTATATTAGGTATAAGAGGAGAAATCTTATGGGATGCTTTCACTAAGATTCGAAGTGATTTATCAAAATATTCCTTGATCTCCGAATTATTTGATGAGGCATGTAAACCTGAAAGATTTTATAAAACAATAAATGTCTTCAACTTTCTGAAGTCAAGGTCGCTTCAGCATGAAGACATTATGAATCAGGTAGTTAATCTACGTTTTAGAAACGAGATTATCGACAACAGCACAAGGAAAAAAACTCTTATTCTCTCCCCAAAAGCTTATCACTTCATCCTTAAAACATACGAAAAAAGGTCCGAATTAACAATGAAGTGCTTCAAGGATATACTAGGCTTAAAAGTTTATTGTAATGACTCCATTATCCCATTAAAATATGAATGCTCGGTCAATAATTTGTTTAGACTTTATAATGATGCGATTTCTTATAGGCCTGAATATATCATATTATTAAAGCATGCAAAATCCGCAGAGGTTTTACAGCCATTTTTTGAAGAGTTCATGCCTTGTACCTCCGAAAATGTGAGGCCAATTTGGTTAAATTTGTTGAATTCTTTTGATGGAGAAGATGACTGCGAATATTTTAACGAATATTTATATCGGTGGAAATTAAACCATTAAATCATATTTTTAACTTTTTTTTTTTTTTTATTATTATTATATTATTTAAATTACTACATTGTATTTTCTGATTTTGTGTTTCTATGATTTACCAAAAAAATAATAAAACTCTATTTTTAAATTTTTCCAATGAATAAAATCAAATGAGATCGCTAATGCTTACCATCCTTATTTTATTTATAAAAAAAAAATAAAATAAAATAAAATTGAAATGAAATTGAATAAAGTAAAATTTGGCTATCCACGGTTCTCTCGCCTGATGATTTTCCATTAAACTTTAACCCGTTCGTATTCGATTATTCAGACTTTCCACTCTGCCTGTCCAAATGTAAGGCTACATTGTAGGAATGTTGAGTGTTTTGAATTTAATATCCTTTTTAGCCTAATGGAAATAAGCCAATTTTTAAAATTAAAAATTTATCGTTATAAATATATAGCGTTAACTATTTTTATCTATTCTCAAACAATTCAAATTTCTTTACCCTTCGACAAATTATGATTATAAACTTAAAATAAGATTTAATAGGACAAAATATGAATATTTATTAATTTTTAAAAATCAATATCACATTATCAGAATATAATATAATATATACAATGTTAGAGGAAACTTTTATCAGGGAAACAGATGTCGAATAGATCACGTTCAACTTTTTGCATTTTTGTTATTTTACTATTAAAAAATTAGAAAAAAAAATTTAATAAAAACTTGCTTTCAGTTGCTGATGAATAAATTTTTTTTACCTGAAACGTAAGATTTTTTAATACAGTTAGATTTGACACATCGTATTGAAAACTAAAAGATAAAGATAAAAGGATGAATTCGTAATTTAATATATGTATTGGGTGTGATTAAATATCTATTGCCTCCCACGATCGCTGGGAAACAAAGCAATAGTCAAATTTCCTCTGTGGAAAATGATGAAGGAAATGAGGGGAAAATTTTTTTTTTTTTTTTTTTTTTTTTTTTTTTACCTTTTGAGAAAAACCTCTGTTAATTAAAATAAAATGAAATGAAATTTAAAATATTATTTCATTCTTTAGGAAAGATGTAGTAAATAATACATAGAAACTTGTCAGTCGTCAGTCTATTCACAGTTTCAGATCATACTTTTTTCATAAAACCTTCAATAATACTATAAGGAGAGAAAGGTGATTTTTATATATAATATAGATAAATTTGAAAGAAAAGTAAATCAGAAAATCAAATACTTACATTCACCATTGGACTTTGCGTAATTACAATACAAGTGAGAAAGTAGTGAGCCCTTAACGTAACGATACATCATCTCATCTTAAAAGATTGGATGCGATGATGCATTAGGTCCTTAAAGAGGACTAGAAATACTTAAGACTCCGAAGATCGTTTCAGATTTGTAGTTTACTAATTCCCTCTAGATAAATTTTGACATGATGTAAAAATACGATTAGAACGAGGTGATTGACGTGGTTTAATAGTAAAGATATTTACCATGAACTTTCATCAGTTTTCTTCAATTTAAATGAAGAATTGTTATGTTGAGAAGGTTTCTTGAAAGATCATTAAAATTTATAATCATCGGAGAATCTACACACAAAGATGTATCATAAATAAATCCTACAATGTTTCTTTTGAAGCTACCTTTCTCTAAGGGTAAAGTTATTGAGGGGAACCGAAGAAGATGAAGGGAGTAATAAGTTTCGAAAATCCTCCTGTGAGGTAGATCTCCTTTTATTATCATTGATCAATAAGATTAATTATTCATATTCTCACCAGTATCTTTGTTTGGTAATTCATAATTTTAAAATATTCACATGAACAATATGATGTAATTTTAACTGTGAATATATAAAATGGAATTTAGGTTCGAAAGATGTTCTGATGCTAATGGACATATCGACGAACTAAAAAAAAGGGTATGATGTTTAATTTTGTTAGAAATTCTTCACCAAAATTAAAAAAACAAATGCTATATAAAAATCAAAAAATTTTAAAGTACAAATAAGCAAAGACACTTTTTGCGACATTAAAAGGAATTATTAAGGTTAATAATTCGGTCTGTTATGGACATGTCTTCCTAATTATTACTTTTCGGATTAGCAAAAATCATCCTTCGGCCACAGCGGTAACGATTTGCTTAATTTTGTTTTGGTTTATTCGAGCCACATCACCAGCAGCAAATAAGCCAGAAACGAAAGTCGAACAGTTATCATTAATAAATTCTACATAAAGCCAATACCCAGATTAAGACGACGTCGATGTTCTCCCATCTGGTTTTAAAAAAATATATAAAAATATATAAGCAAAATAATGAAACATCTTAATTGTAGTGATGGTTTTGGATACATTTTTTGCATGTTGATCGATCTTCCACTATGTGATGCATCAATTCTATTGCCTTCTCTTCCCGAGACGTTTCTTCTACTGCTTCATTTTTATTTTTGGAGTCACTCAAATTATTTAGAAATGTATATAGAGTCGTAAATATTGGTAATATCTGTTGTTGTTGATATTGAACATATATTAAGAAATACTCGTCAAAGAATTAGTTCATGAAAAAGGTTATTTTGTAAATTGTTTTAATGGGCAATGTATTTAAAACGTAGCGGGAAAACGGTAAGACAAAAACTAGTGTTATAGGGTCGAACCACCTTGTGTGGCATATGACGTTAATTTTTTGGTGTGTATGATTCGTCTTGTGAGATTAGGTAAGGCGGAAGAGGTGTGGTGAGATTATGGGATTAGTTTAGTTTTTTTAGACACTAAATTTTACGTTATACACAGAATAAAAAAAAGATCGCCAAGATCACCAATAATGTAACATTGTGGTTAAATCACGGTGAAAAATTTGACTTTTAAAAAAGTATTTTATTGAAGAATGAAGATCTGACAGTAAAAAATAGTAAATTGAAATTTATATTAAAGAAATAAAAAGTATATATATATAAAAAACCAAGGAATAAATTTTTTTAAATTAAAAAATTTCCTTTTTTTAAAAAAAGATTTCTACAGTTAAATATTAAAAAGTAGAATTTTCGAATAATCTTAATAAATAATTGATAAAATAATTATCATCATTTCCACTCAAAGAATATAATACATTTAACCAAATCGACCTGTTGATATCGTTAGATTGGAGAATCTTTGGTACAAAATTCTCAAGGAATGGTTTGATTACATCTGAACTTTTTGCACGATTTAATAATTCCAAGTGCTCTGGTAAATATTCAATACTTTCCTTATATAAATTATAAACTTCAAGAATATAATCAAATGTGTAAGTTGATATATTAGCAAGATCCAAATTTTTTGGATCATCAAAATATATTCTCAATGCAAGTATGTCTTTAAAGCACATTAAGGACAAATCAGATTTGCTACCATAATTCTTTAACAAAAATTCATATATGATTGGTGAAAAGATAAACGATTTTTGCCTGGTATTAAAATTGATATCATCTAGGTTCTCCCGTTTAAAATGATGAATAAGTATTTGTTTGATAAAACTTTCATGATCTTTGGTCTTTGACTTTAAAAAGTTTAATATGTATTCTCTCCCATGACATCTATTGGGATCAAACGCTGCTTTAAATAATCCAAAAATAAATGTTGATTCAGGTTCATCGGATCGAATTGTACAAAAGATCTTCCAGAGGAGTTCACCTAATTCAACTAAATCATGTTCATAAAATTGAAGTACATCGACGATGATATTATCATTCAATCGAAATCCTATTTCGACAAGTTTTTTAAATTTTGGAAAAATGTCATCAAATTCAGGAAATGACCAATCTTGATTCTTTGTTGGAGGATAAAGGGTTAAAAATGAACCTTGAAAAACCAATTCATTAAAATCATCACATATTTCAGAGTAACCTATACTTTTCCATATGTTTACTAAATCAGGTTCCATTATAATAGCTCTTGCTATTATATTTAAATTTTTGTAGGGTTCATATCCATCAAAAGGGGGATAACTTTCATGAATATTTAGATCACAGTCATTTCTATCGTAAAAAAATAATTGACTTTTAGATGGGAATGGGATAAATTTCTTACTAATAATAAAATCTTTGATTTGATTAACATTATATTTTAACGGGATATTAGCACTAGTATATAAGTAAGGGCCACCGGAAAGATAATAAAAATGATCCATGTCATTTCCCTTCAAAGTAAGTTCCTCACCAAATTGAGCTTTCCCTTGTGTTAATATCGAAAATAATGTACCTAAACGTATATCGTGTGCCCAAAATCCACGGTTTTGATCAGCGTTATCAAGCAATTTTGGATAAAAAGTTGTAAATTGCAACATTAACCTTTGGATAAAGTATCTAGAAAGCATAACCTTCTTTGCGAACAAAATATTACACACGTTTTCATTAATGAATGTGGAGCCTAATTTTACTCCAAAAAAGAAGGCATGAATTGTTCCAAATTTTCGCAATAACCATTGTACTTTTGCATAAGGATCTTTTGCGACTATTGACCAACTTTTACAGCTTACGGCCAAGTTAATGGGACTATCGATATATTTAAATATGTTTAATTTAATCTCATATTCGAGGTATAGAAGTGACATTTTTTTGAGTGTGTTTCGATTAAGGGTAAATAGGAATGAGTTATAATTATGATTCAAGAGATTTAAGTCGGTGATGAAAAAGAAAAAAAAAAAAAAAGGAAAATTTGATTTCGAACATTTTATAATAAAAAAATGGTGTCAAACGACTTGACCTTTGCAATATAGCAAGGCCCAATAAACTCGTGGTAAAAGGCGCTTTTTCACCGATGATTATTATGTTTCAAAAACAAAACCTTTAAAGTTCGTAGTGCATTTTCTTTCCTTTTTGGTATTTATTACTTTACGGAGGAGTTGGGCCTATTTCCAGCATTTATTTTTATCATTGATATCATACTTCTTATAGAATCATGGTGTTTCAAGTCGATGCATTCGTTATCAATAAACATATTATTTGAAATTTTTTTTTTTATAGTTCAGCCAATCTTGGTTGGTGCAAAGGCAATTTTTTGGGGGAAGGTACTGATTATGTTTGATAAACTATTTATTAATGTTTATAGAAATATAATAGAAGTATGATAAAATTCAAGTTAAATAACCGGATTTTCAATCAAAAAAATTTTTTGTGGGAAATTTATTGTTCACTATCTTTTTGGTATGGTCTTATCTTTTTTTTTTATATAAATTAAAAACCTGAAAAAGTTTTCATTCCGTTGCAATGCATGCAGTCACATGTTTTAATAAAATGTGAAAAAAAAACTACACGCAATTGGATAAATTCATTAAAAAGTTCAATAGACCATTCAAGGAAATCATCAAAGTTCAAGGATCCATTTACCTTATTTTGGATTTCATGAAAGTAACCCGTAAATAAACTTCTATCAGGTTTTGTTTACCCTTAAAATTTTTTTCATGTATTCTACAACATTAATCGGGATAATATATGTTTCAATAAAGAAATGAACTTTATATTTTTAAAGATTATCAAACAACGAATTTCAAAAGATGAAATCTTCCCATCTCACTTTCTATATTATTCATCATACCAAATTTATTATCATAATTAAAAAAAGTTTCTTTGTCTCTTTGTCATTATTTAATTGAAAAAAAATGTTTCAATCCTTTGATTTCGAAACATTTTTATTATTGAATTGGGACTACTAATATCATGTCGATCAAAATACAGATCATCAGTTATGAATTGATCGTTTAATAAAACTATATAGAACCCAAAATCAACTAATCAACTTCCGAAATAAGGTTAGATCACATTTGCGTTATTTTTTCTCATGGTTGTGATTGTATAATGCAAACAACAACTTTAATTATTGATATGTTCAATGTAGCAATACAATACGACTTCCTTTTTTAGAGATGAATTTCATGTTTTATAAGCACACCTTATGATCAGTTTTCAACAGGTTTTTTATTGGTTTTTTATTAAATCAATATTCATCAATAAAAATTGTAAATGGCGTAAATTTTGTGCACCATGAAATCATGAGATTTCAATTTAAAAACAAATATGATGAAATCGTTGATGGGACGGATATATCTTTTTTTTTAAAAAAAAAAAAATAAAAAATAAAAAATTTTGAAAGTAGTATCATTCATCTTTACACGTTAAAATTATCATGTATATGGCAAAACGAATATTTTTCATATAAATATTTTTATCATATACCCTGCAACACAAACTTCATAAATACCAAACTCATAATTCCATTAAAAAGAAGAAGGAATGAAAATGAACCAATATTCCAATGGCGCCACCTTCGAATCCGCCGCAGAAAGGAAGAACTAGAAAAGAAAATTACTTTATTTATGATAGTTTAAAATTTATTTAATAGAATAGTTTTTTTTAATAGGATTTAAAATTTATTATTATTATTATTTTTTTTATTAAATTATTAAATAGTTATTTTTTATATACTGTATATATAATAAATCGTATTTTTACAATTAATAATGAAAATATGTAAAATGAACGAATTAACTATTACGCTCGGAGCAAAATCATGAACGCGTTCTCAAATATTATAATATTCAATAATAATCACAGCATTAGTTATTTTTCATCATATTTGTTTGTCTTTCTTTTCATTAAGGTGTGGTGTTATGCCATAATGCAATTTTTATTACATTTTTTTTTTTCGTGTAAATTGTGAGGAATTAAAATTTCAATCTGTTGGCCAAAATTAAAAATATTTTACTAAAAAGGTAAAAAATTATATTAAGTCACGTGAGATAAAATGGTTTTGATTTTTAAAAATCAAAAATTACTACATATACACGTTTGTGCGAAAGACTGAAAGAATCCATGAAAGGTGACATTTTGGTAGTTATAACAGGAAGAAGTGGACATGAAGGTATTGAAAAATAAATGCTAATTTCTCGAGTTTTTTTTTTTTCTTTTTTATAGTTGTTAATTGACGAACTTTAAATAATTTAGATCCAACTATAAAAAATAATGGAAAAATATGAGCATGCTAAAAAGTCATTTGGCGAACATACTTATAATATAGCTTTAAGACCAACTGGTTTTGTTTTATTGCATTATATGACATCTCAAGACTTTTTGGATATAATTCTATCGCTCTTACAATTGCTGGAATTTCTTAACAACTAATGGAAATTGGCAAAATCTAATCAAAAAGACAGACATCTTTAAAAAATTCAAAATAGATAACAAAATAGATCATACGAATTTATTGAATTTTTTTTGACGACAAAATTCATATACAACTATTTTTACAACTTTTTTACCAAGGATCTGGAAATGTATTTTACAAAAAATTGAAACTTTTCCAAAATCTTAACAAGTCTCGTGCAACTAAATGGTTTCATATTTCTATCGACTTTCAGAGACTGTGATCATTTACCTTATTACATGTGGTCACTACAATGCTTTGGAAAAAAATTACATTTGCTGCTCTTTTCACGTTGTAATTTCATCCTTGGTAAATGAATTATCCTGGAGTTTCTCTTTGAATGAAAAGTCTTTTTATATTAAAATGATTTCTTCATTGAGATTATATTGCATTAAATTCTAATGCTCGATATTTAGAATCGTGAATTTGGTGTTAATTGTCAAAACTTCATGATCGTGCTCGGATAGTAGATTAAGTTTCACGATTGTTAAAGACACTTCTATGCTAGTTCTTGAACTTCTTCACGAATCATTGTTAAAATGGCTTTTTGCATAAGGATGATGCCGAGAAGTATGAACCCCCTCTTTTTGCCAAATTATTTCGATTTTGACAATTATTTGTTAAAACCAATTCAAAGGATAATTGATTCAGATTCATAAGCTTATGATATTGGTAATTCTGGCGTTCATCATCTGGCAAAGATATCATTCAATATGTTAACTATTGATTCTTAATCTTATTCAACACTTACTGCAGCCGATCCAGAAAAATATAAAAAAAAAATACTGTTCTGCAATGAATTATGGGAACGTGCACTAGCTTCCGTTGCTTCATACCCATATTCTTTAGAAGAACGGAAAATTCAAAGGTCTGTATCATTTCTATTGGCAAATCAAAATGCATATGATACATATCAAGCTTTAGGAACCTGAACCTTGGAAAGCTCATGGAGTTGATTACTTGGTACAATTGTGGAAGAACCTGAAACTGAGGATAAAATTTCATTTTTGAGGAGCAATCGCTGAAGGTATGATACTTCAATAGATACAATAATCGGAACTAGATATTAATTTAACCAATTTTCATGGAATTTATGATCGTGATTTTAAGGGATGAAAGGAAAGATCAAGGTTTGGGAAATGGCTTTCCGAATATGGTTACGAATTAGAGTTCTGAGAGAAGTTTCAACTAATCATCGATGCTTAGCAAATCATAGCAAAATACTGAAATAGATTGTAAACTAGTAACTGGTGCTATTTTATTGTAATTTGTTAGTTTATTCAATTGATTTATTAAAATTGCAAATATCATTTTTATATAGATTCCGCTTTATCCTCCGGATCGTCAAAACAAGGAACCTATGTTCGTACAGTACAAATATCCAAGAAAATCTAAGATTAGTTGCCGATGTTACCATTGGACCAGATAGCATAAAGTTAGTAGTATTAGAACGTTGGATGGTAAATAAATTTTTTTTTTTTATCTCAGTATAATGTAATAGTGCTGTTCTTTTATCATAAGGTTAGATGACGTCATTCTTCACTATCGCATTCTGGTAAGGAAAAATTTACTATGTTAAAATAGAATTGCATTATCGTGATAATAATTGAAATTCTATCTGATTTATTTAATTAATTTAGAATGGTGTTTGGTTTCCTTACCCTAGTCTGTGCTGAATTATATGTTCGACCAGTTAAAAGTTTGACATCATCAGAAATTATTTATCACCAGGTGTCTAATTTTTTCTTCATTCGCCTTGACAATTTATTGATCTAATTCTAATTTAATAATGATATATGTCATTTCTACCTATTAATGCTAACCTTTCAATACCTTTACTTCCGATATTAACAAACGTGCAACCGTTTTCAGGATCTTGTACCTATACCAAGATTATAATGAATATGGAAAAACTGTTTCTTCATCGTCCTGCATTATTGTAATCTCATGAGAATGTGATATTTACTGAAAAGGTATGCAGAAAAGATTCTTTATGTATATTGGAAAATTTAATTATAGCTGGCGGAGTATTATTAGGATTAGAGGATGTAACGAAGGTAACACATTTTGCGAACAAATATACAGATCAAGCCATATAGGTGATAGATCAAATTTAGACAATTGGCGCATTCGGGCGAATCTAATCTCGTTGCTTTATAATATCGAACACTTCGTTAACTATAAGATCAAAGTTAATATATAAAATAAAATTTATTATGTAAAAAAAAAATTCGTATATACATATAGAGGCTTGCTTGCTCAAACTCAATAATAAAAAAATTCTTAACAATTACGTATCGACTCTGCATATTTATAAAATTTAAAAAATTTACTTGAATGATAAATATACAAATTTTAAGATTTACACCATTTATCCTAATTTAAATGTGATAAGCTTTTATCGAGATCCCTTACAAAATAATTTATTATTTGGCACTTTGCGGGATTTATGCCAAATCATTATTTTTACAATGTCTTCAACACAACTTGCCAATTCCACTTACTCTTCCTAACAACGAACTCTTGCAAATTATGTAATCCAAAAAGTTTTTTCTTGATTTTGTGCATATCTTTTATCTATTGTCATTGAATTTTTAAAGACCCATCATAATCAGTTGAAAAAAAAACTGATCAATCCTTAAATATGTTTTCCAGAAAAAGAACATTTACTGATATGAATATCGTTTGTATGAATTAAAAAAAAATGGATCAATATTTTGAACCGTTTGCAACCCTTGTTTTTCAAAATGTGATGCATCTATAATCACCACTTTCCGGTCACAGTAATTTTTTTCAAAATATGTGCTTATAAAAAGGTTTACTATATTGTGATAATACAGAGGTATTTAATTTAATCCTGGTTTTAATATAGGTCATGATTTTAATTATAAACAGGGTGATTGTAGACAGGTTAGTATGATCTGCAGGGAAAAAAAGATTATGTTTAATTACTTGGTCAACCTACCAAATATATCCAATTTCCTCCTATAAGCGAAGGTATCATTCAAATGGCTTTTTTCGGGTTGATAAGAAAAATCTTTCGTTTTTTTTTTTAGTTGTTTTGGAAGTTTGTGCATGTGAAAAATTTGAATAACTGAT